GGTGCCCTAGTGGTCTGGTTTTGGGGAAGTTGGTTGAGGATTTGTTGTGATTGACACTTGATGGAATTCTTGAAGTTGAGGTGTTCAAAAGGAAAGGGAGAAGAAGTCGGGATTGCGCAGTGGGCAGAATATATCAAATTCCAATGGAATCGCTGGGGCAGCCGCATCTTAGCGAGTGGCACTTACCGTAATTGGATTAAAGCCAGTGGCTGAACAGGGCTGGGAATGGGGATTCAATTCGATTAGAGAATTTTGAGATTAGACAGAAGGTTCGACGCAAAGCACCAATCCACTGTGAGAAGGACGAAGGTCGTTATTAATTGGCCAGGAAAGGGAAGAATCATTGATAAGGTGGCAGGTGGCACGGGTGGTACGGTGAGAAGGAGATTTGATATTGAATGAACATGGGGAAATGGTGAGATAGGAGGTCAAGAGAATGAATGGGTTTATTCTATTTGCGATGACGAGGATAGGATATACACATAATATATACATATATTTTATATCCTATATTTCATATTTTACATTCTACTCATCGTGGGGGGGATTCAATGAAGGGTGGTTGAGATATATAATAACCATGGGAATATAGCGAGATAAGAGATACCTGACTAGGTGAGGAGGATTACGGCGTAAAACGAGTGAGTCTTGTTTTTACATGTACCTAGGTCGGTATTCAATAACTAAGACACAAACCCATGGCAAGTAAATATACAATTCCTATCTCTTCCTTCATCAAGTCGAGAAGAGGCCATCGTACGGTGTGAGATTCGATGTTGTTCTCGAATGCCACATAACATGGGGAAATGGCGAACAAGGTAAGGAGTCATATCATAAAAGGGGAAGGATTAATGACTTGGCGATTGGCCTATGTGTGGTCAAGAGCATTATTGGGGAAAGGCGTACCCAGTCCTTGCCTACCTGGTACCTACTTATTATTATGTATGGATGGGATCAATAGAATTTCCCATTGCTGAATGCTGTTACTGAATGCTTGATATCTTATCATGTGATGTGAATACTGGACAGATATATATATATATCAATTAACCATGATAATACTGTACAGAGGATACTGATCTCAAGCAAATGTCAAGAAATCATTAGGGCACTCTTTGATAGATTTGATAGATGATTCATACCCCAATATGTCATTCTTCTTCTGATGACATCAAAATAGGTTCTAGAACCACTTAAGTTAATTACTCGAGTAACAATAATAAGGTATGTAGATCGATTCATTACCACGGAGTATATGTATCAATATCTCTATCAAGACACATCGCCAGTGCCTAGGATATCCATAATCAAAATATACGATGAATACCCCAATCAATTTTTAGAAATTCTTGTGAAGAAAGTGTCTCTTATTATCATGCTATTGATCTTATATAGTATTACCTATAAATTATCTATATATCTCAATCCATTGACTCGTTATACAGTACCCAAATCTTTCCTCCCCATCTTCCCAACACTCGATTTCCATGTTCCCACACTTTGTATGTGGTGTTGTCATTGTGTACTCATAATCATAAGTATGCCTGCATTGCAGCTTGCTTAGTTGAAAACAACGCTTTTCTTCTATAGCTTTCTGTTGGTAACCGTTCTTTGTCTTGTCTTGTTCGGTGTGCATGAAGCCATTGACCGTTGATTTCAGTCATTTGCCTTACAATCACAATGCAAAGACTTTGTTTCCTTCTCGAAGCCTGCACGGCAGGGCAGGTCGTCTGACAATCACCTGATACACATACAACCACAAACCAAAGAATACATAATACATGATGGATTAACCTTGAAGTCTTACCTAGCTCTTTTGTTATTGTTAATTGTTCACACCATGAGTATTGGTGAATGAGATGCTAATTCAAACAGCCAACAGCCCACTGACCAATATCTCGTGACTTACATGCAGTCCTTCTTGGATAATGGTGACCAAAAATTATTTTTCTTATCGACTGGTTGATTAACCTTTGAATTTTATATCGAATCGAGTCATTGACCAATACTTACCATTGCCACAAACAATCATCAATCAATTAATGTTACCAAATGTCTGATATCCTCAATGGCCAACCGCATGATAGGAGTGCGCTCATCCTTTATGGAACGGAAACTGGAAACTCCCAAGATGTGGCCGAAGAATTAGGACGCATTGCAGAGAGACTTCATTTCATGACAAGGGTGTGTGAAATGGATGAGGTTGATATTGTACGCAATTTCTTCCCTAAATCTAACCAATATATACTTATTTGCATGTATCAAAACAGAGAGAATTATCAAAGTACACTTTTGTTATATTCACATTGTCAACAACAGGGCAAGGAGAATTTCCAAAGAATGCGAGGAAATTCTGGAATAGTCTTTTGAGAAAGCGTTTGCCTCCCAATTGTTTGAGTCACGTGAACTTCACCACTTTCGGTCTTGGTGATAGTTCTTATGCAAAGTAGGTAAAAACTGGGAAGGAAGTAAGGTAGAATGAAGGGGAGGAAGAAGGACGCTTGCCAAATAAAACAACACTAATACCTTTCCAGATTCAATTTTGCATCTCGTAAATTACATAAAAGATTGGAACAGCTGGGTGGGAATGAGATATATCCTAGAGGTGAAGCAGATGAGCAACACGATGAAGGGTAAGTGAAATTCTACTTATCTGGGAAAACCTTCTTCTTTTTAATTTGGAATATATTTGCCTATATAGTCCATAGTAGAAGATGCTCTATGTCTTTCCCTCCAGTTTTGCACCTGCCTGACTTACTGACATAAATAGAGTTGATGGAACTTTCCTCTCTTGGCATATTGATCTTAGGAAGAAACTCCTCGAATCATTTCCATTGCCAGATGGCTTAGACCCAATTCCTGATGATGTCCTTCTACCCCCAAAATGCTGGCTAGAATTGGCAAATGAATCTTCCACAGCCATCGAGAAATCAAGTTCATCGTTTGAAAACATATATGACAATGGTCAAACAGAATTAGATTCATTAAATAGCAAGATTGCTCTTGCCAAAGATTTGGATGCTTCTAACTTACCTAACAATTCTACTGATCTAGATACTCTTGGAGAAACTGATACTCAAGCTCACCAATCATCCGTCCCAAACACAGCGACGATGCCAGACAAATATGGCCTAGAATCTGGGATTAGATTTGATAATGGTTTTGACGCACCACCTCCTCCATCAAATCGCTTGACCGATTTTCATAAAGAGCAACCAGAAGAGGACAATGTATTACCTCCACCAGCACTTCTAAAAGGAATTAAAAAGAATCGTTCACCATTTCATGTCACTATGGAAGCCAATAAGCGCGTCACTCCTCCAGACCACTGGCAGGATGTTCGCGAGATCACGTTCAACTTAAGAGGCAGAGATATCATGTTGGATCCTGGGGACACCATATCAATTTTCCCCAAAAACTTTCCTGAAGATGTGCAGACCCTCATTGATTTGATGGGGTGGAACGATGTCGCGGATCTGAAGTTACACTTTAAACCAAAATTACCAGATTGGTTCGGCGCGAAAAATTTGATAATGCCCCCAGATGGTCTCAAGAAAATTGGAGACGAACAAACGCTCAGAGAGTTATTGATTCATAATCTTGATTTTCAAGCCATCCCCAAACGTCGTTTCTTCGAGCTTATGGCCGGTTACACAAATGATCCGACACACAAAGAACGCCTCCTTGAGTTTCGGGATCCTCTCTATACTGATGAACTTTACGATTATACCACTCGTCCTCGTCGCAGTATGCTCGAATGTCTTCAGGATTTTCCAAGCGTCAAGCTTCCTTGGAAACATGCCATTACCATTTTTCCTATGATCCGAGGTCGCGAATTCAGTATCTGTTCAGGCGGTGACTTCCACAGATCCGTCATACTTTCAGATAAAGTTTCCCGAAAAACTAAAGAATCGAATAATTACGGAGATTACGATGATCCTAGACCATTAAAAGATTATAAATTCCAAATTCTTGTCGCCATTGTCAAATACCGCACCGTTCTTAAAAAGGTTCGCAACGGTCTCTGTTCCCGTTATCTAGCCACTCTTCCCAAGGGAACAAATCTCACGATCCAGTACAATGCGAACCCTTCTTTCTATAAAGTATCCCGGCTTGTGCCAGAGCTTTCTCTTATCTTAGTCGGTGCAGGCACGGGAATCGCACCTTTACGATCATTGATTTTACAACGCTTGAAACAAATCAGAGATACACCGGAGGGCAGAGTTCAATTCGGAAAAACCCATCTTATATACGGTGGACGTAATCGCAAGGCAGATTATTTCTATGCTGATGAGTGGGAATCGGCCCAAGTCAAAGATCATCTATATGCAAGCGCGGTTTTCTCACGAGATCAGAAACAGAAAGTTTACGTACAAGATGAGATTAAGGCACAAGGACATGAAATTGCAGATTTGCTCATGAGTCAAAAAGTAATGATTTATGTTTGTGGTAGCTCGGGTGGTATGCCCAAGGGTGTGAGATGTGCTTTTTTGAGCGTCTTGCAAGTTCATGCGGGAATGAGTATGGAGAAAGCGGAGGATTTCATCGCGAATCTGGAGAGATTGAAGAGATATATACAAGAAACGTGGTAGAGTATCTTGTAAGTGGAAGAGAGAGAGAGTACATAGTGATGGACAAGTTGATGTGAGGTGATTATTGCGGATCGCATCCTGGCGTGGAAATTCTATCTTCGTACTAGATTGATGAGTTGATGGCTGCTAGAATGGTTTAGGATTGTGGAGTATCATGCATAGATTCCTGGGATCCTTCATCATGATTGTTTTGATAATACCAAATATTGTATTATACAACTGGAGATATCACTATCTTGATACATGAAACTTTATGATAAACCTCCTGAAATTTCACACTGAATAATCACCCGTCAATCTGTCCTCCTCTTCTAGATCTTGGTAAGAGTGGTATATGACTACTCAGTCCACAAAGCCATAAATCCTCACCCCCCAAAATTCAAAAGTCCACAGCACAGTAGTAGTATTTTACACCAAAATCCCAATATCAACCACTACCCCCTCTTCCTCAGTATCCCCATCCCCATCATAGACAAACGAATCCCCGCACTCCCCCTTATCTTTCATAACTTTCCCCCTACCTCCCATCCCCATATCCATACCCTTACTCCTCCTCTTCCTCCCCATATCAAAACTCCAATCCCCGTCCACAATAGAAGGTAAATCTATCGAAACCAGAAACCCGCGCGTGAGAGGTAAATACTCGATTTTTGAATGGTGCGCGAGGAGATGTGAGATGTTGTGGTGGGAAATGTGGAGGGTTGAGATTTGTGGGGTGGGGGAAGAGGGAGAGGAGATGTATAGAGCTAGGATTCCGGTACCTTTTAGTTGGATGTGGATGTTGAGGAGGTGGAGGGGGGGTGAGGAGGGGGGTGAGGTTGGGTTTGGGTTTGGGTTTGGGGCTGGGTTTGAGGTTGAGGTTGAATTTGATGGTGAAGGTGAAGGCGAAGAGGAGGAAGAAGAAATAGAAAAAGAACTCTTGAGAATCGCAGCCGCGCCGACGAATTTATTGAGGAGACCGAGGATGACGAGGTTGATTGTGGGAGTGGTGTTGGGTTGGGGATGGGGTTTTGTGCGTGTTTGTTGTGGTATATTGGGGGTGGAGTTGAGATTGGCGTCAGGATTGGAAAAGGGGGATGGAGATGGAGATAGAGATGGCGCGGGAGGTAGTGGAATAGTATATACACGACACGCGGTGAGGATTTCCCATCCAGACTCGGGTAAGGTGACTAAGCATTTACCTCCGCTTGTTCCGCGTGAATGTAGGGAAATGGGCGGAGAGAGATTATTGTTTGAGGAACTGTGCAGGATGTATTGTTTCTCTTTTTCTTGGATTTCTCGATTCTCTCCAGTGGTGTCCTTCTCTTTGTAAAAAGAAGAATCGGAAAGAGGAAAAAACTCCTCAAGTCCGATCATCTCGGTGACGGAACCGGAAGAAAAAGTGTTGAATAACCCGAGGACTTTTATATCCGTTTTGATAGTTGAAGTGTGCAGTTTTAATATGCGACGGGAGTGCGAGCTAGGGTATACAGATGTAGATTTTGTGGGGTTGGTACGTAGGATGATGGGAGGAGATGAGGGTGAGGATGGGGATTTGAAGGGGTTGCAGGAAAGGCGGGAAATGATAGAGGAATCGTGGTGAGAGGGCGTATCGGTTATAGATAGGAGACCGCCAGAGAGAGAGCGCGCGGCGGCGTGGTAGGAGGAGTAGTGGGGAGTTTGGGAGGAGGTTTGGAACATATCCCAATCTGGGATGACGTTTTCGAGATGGGTGGTTAGGTGGGAGGTGTGGGAGTTGGTGTGGATGTGCCTACAGTGTTCACTTAGTATTTTGTCGAGACTTTAAATTTAAGGAGAAATTAATTGATGGAAATGTACCAAGCATGAGTAGCAGGATCGTTGGGCCAGAAATCATCGGAATTGCGCATGGCTATTTTATTGGCGGGATGGGTAGATGAAGAGAGTAATATTTGAGGGGAGAAAATATTAGTAGGATATTGAGACATGCATGATATTACTCTTTCTTCGAAATGAGAAAGTAGTGATGCGTGGATTGCGTTTTGATAGGCTGGTATTAATTCTCTTCTATCTTTGGCACTTTTGAGATCACCTAATAATCCTTGAGTGTCTAGCTTGACTGTGTTTATACCACAGCTGACCAGAAATCTGTAGAGGCGTTAGCAATTTAGTAAGATGAAAAATGATATATTTCCCCCTCGGTAGCTGGAAACAAAACGTACGAATAAAAATCATCATAGAATCTCTTCACATCGCAAGCATCGATAACCCACATTCCACTGCGTCGCGAATTATTGATTTCTACCCATCGTAATCTATATTCCCTTCCAATCTCACTCTCAGGATCAATACCTCCCCAATAGCCAAAGATGCCGTGCCAAACTCCAATGTTTTTGATCCAGGGATGAGATTTCCTAATCCGTAGTGCGAGATTGGTAAGACCTTCTGGGAAGGATGTTAATGAAGCTTCGAATCTTGACCAACGATGTTGGTTTGGGAAGGTTTCGGAGCCGAATGACGTTATGGATTGCCACCCATCGTCTATTATGAGTGTAGATGGGTAGATTGAGGATGAGCCCAGATCATCAAGTGCGGCAAAGAGAGTAGTGGATGTTAAGGCGGGCCCGAGAGAATTCCATGTACAATATACTAGCTCATCGTGGAAATTTCTCTTGTCTTTTGGATCTGTAATTTCCTCGAGTTTTCCGCCGGTAATGGGCTCTGTGTTTAAGCCTTGCCGGACAACCATTTTCGCATGGTCCATTGCAGCCGTGATACCCTCCTCTACAGTTTTGCCCACGGCACAAATCACAATTCCATCTCTTGTCTCTTCATTCTCGTTCTTTCTTATAAAAGTAATGCTCCCATTCTCATCAGATGTGAGCGTCATTACAACACCTTCCATACTCAACGCAAGCATCACGAAATTCATCCCATCACTTCTTAGAAAGGATACCAGAATCGCTTTCGGTTCCGCATCTCCTGTGTAGAATTGACAATCATCTTCGCCCAAGTCGAATCTGGATCCTCCATGACGTGGTACTAGCCAAAAATTCATTCGTTTGACGAGTGCAAAATATTGGACTATATCCTTTGGGAATCCAATGGTGATTCTTTGAAGGCTTAGCTTGGTAGCCAAAGCGACAGAAGCAGATATCGGACACGACAAAGTCCATACAGGCGAATCAGATGCTTCATGCTGTCCGTGATACTTGACGTGAAAATCACCTGACAAGTTGGAGATATATTCCTCAATGGAAGACACCGGGAAAGTAGTTGATGATTTCTGGAAAATAATTTCTGCATCACCGACCGGATTGGGATCATCATTCACCCACTTCCAGGTTGAATCAACAGTTCTTCTGTACTTGATAGTATAACAAATTTGTTGTTCTTTCAATGATTGCTGTTTCATAGTGTTTGAGAAGAACAAAACTGATTTCTTAGGGTTTGCAGCAAGCTTTGCTCTTTGTCAGTTACATACAAAGTCACAGGAGTAGACAATTAGATATCCTTACTATTGGTATATTATCATCACTTCGGGTGAGATCAAGCTGTTTCCAGCTCATATCCTTCGAGCCATACCATAATGCTACTTCCCAGTTGGTTTCTTCATCGTTATGCGGAAACAGCGCAACTGTGACGTTAACCTATGCATATATCAGTTGAGCAATTTTCCTTTGACACGGGAAGTACATCATGTGATCTTACCTCTTTTTCAGCAATCACTGTGGTCTGACCCAGAAGCGGATAGCAAATGACTTGAGCACTCATTTTGCTTGATGATATCAATATCACAATTAGTTTCCAACCCCGGATTGTGTTGAAGACTTGTTTATGCTCAAGATTAATAAGTTACGCGCCACTGCAGCCTAACCCCACAACCGTGCGCCCCCTGACAGCAGTCTATAAATTAGCGATGTGGGCCTTGAATGAACGGGGTTGTGGCGGATCTCGTCACCGCTTCAGGAGTGTAACCGCTCTGTTGCCTTTGAAGGAATCAGTTTCCAAGCAAAATAAGGATCAATTCATTACCAGCAGGTGTAAAGAATGGTTTTGGAAATCTCTCCAAGACCTTTGGCTATAGATTTGCAAGTGTGAATGCCTTGGAAGTACACTTCTGATTTTAAGGTTAATCTATTCGAGAATGAAGAATCCTTCTCGAGTCTGGGGAAGAGGATCGTAATATGGCTACAGCCATGCATGGAACAAATAAAGGGCTCAGTAGTTCCACTCAACATCTGAATTATTATCGGAAAAGATATTTCTTGAGTTATTTCAAAGGCCTCTCAATTTTTCCGCAAGAAGTGCCTTCAGCAATCGCTTTCAAAGATCACCATGAGTATCAATTCATTCAAACTTGTAGTGGCATTTTTGCTCACGGCAGTATCCATGACATCGGCTCATGCTATACCAGCCATAGGTCACAATATTAATACGCCCACCAAAGCTCACGAGCTTGTGTCCCGTGCTGCTCCTTCAGACAGGTTTCCAACAAACACCGCTGTTGCTACTAGTGCTGAGGCTTATACAAATTGCTGTCAGTTCAAAGAAAACCCCAGTGGCAGTCTAAAGTTCACCTTGAATCTCGCCGGTGTAAGTACATACGTATATTTGTACCCCTACTCAATCTTACATTTGCGTCAAACATATCGATCTATCTTCGCGACCAACCTTTAAATACCTTGAAGCTTACATGCCGAATAGTGGGGAAATACCGACCAAAGAAAGAATCACACAATATACGACGACATCGACTGCGCTTATGCACTGCGTGATGAAATATACAATATCGGTAAGAAAAACTTTCCTCATGTCTCCTCGTAACTGCTTTACTAAATCATGGGGTCATCTAGACAAAAATGTTGCAACAGTATCTGGTTGGATATGTGTTCCCTCTTACGGTGCTCTCAGAGACACCTTTGTGACTTTCTACTATTCCAATCCGGATCCTACCACTGTGCTTGTGGCTTTGAACAAAGTGGATCCAGGGCCTGAAGAGTGGGAATGCATTCTTCCGAAGACTAGTGATGAAGATTCCTGGGTTTGTAAACCACAACAGTTGAACATCTGATTTGCCATTTTTGATCAAGAGATCAGAGTGTCGCTACTGCCTTCGCTGCGTTGCGGGGCTAGGTCTGAATAGAAAGGGCGTGTTGGAGAAGATAGAGATGTGTAACATCAACGAGAATGCTTCAAATATGATTCATTGGAAGCAAAAAGAGGAGGGAACCGTTTATTGTTGTTCAATTTACATTCTTGTAGTTTTTTTTATTTGGCCGGGAAATAAAGATAACTTTGTGCAGAACTGTAATAGTTCTGATATCATTTTCAGAATGAAACTTGTCGAATTCTAACATTGGCGTTATGCAGATAGATAATGGCATTGTCTGGATAATCATGCACTTTTTCTGAACCAAGATCTTTCTCTTATGAGTAGTGATCATATAAAGCATTTATTCTAGATCAAAGCTAAATTGAGTTTTAGCAAATACTTAAATTTAGGCAGTCTCTTTGCGTGATCGTCAACCTTTCCTGGCACGAATCCCTCTTCCTATCTTTACAAACCTATGGTTGCCCTCCGATCAGAAAATATTTCAAACATTTCCTGGTCGGGCCAATCTTCACAGCTCTCCTCAACGGTATAGTCACTCCAGTGGGATACCCATCTGCTCCTCCGCGCGTGATTGTATCTGTCCCTTGAGGAGTAAATGATCTCTATATCTATCTAGAAGAGCCAACTTTGCCTTGCAATTCTCATTACTGGGATTGTAAGCAGAGACCGAAAGGTATCTTGGAAGGAAGAATGTGGAGGGGTGCGTCCCGATCTAAGCAAGTCTTCCGATAATGATGGAGTCCCTGCCAGTTTTCGATCAAGTCGGCCAAGTACTTTCCATGACCAGGATACCACTCTGCACGGATGATTTGAAGGGGCGTATCTTCAAACCAACGTCCAATTATCTTGTACCTTGGATTGGAAATCGCTTTGTCGGAGAATTGACAACGGCCCAATGGATGGCATAAGGCTACGGATAGATCTTGAGCACACTTTTGATCAACACACAGAGCTAGGTTGAAGGGTTTCGGGTGATATATCTTGCAAGAAGTATAGAAGCGGCGAGAAGTAAGTCCTAAACAAGCAATTATACATGGATTAAGGTCGTCGAATGTGTTCATGAGAATATCGTGTGGAAGATCATTGATGGTAACTTGACGAGTCTTCGTCTCGATGGTGTCATCCACACAACAGCCAGAGTTAGCTGCACCATCTTGGTGTTCAACAATGGACTCGATACCAAAAGTGTGAATGTCTGTAGCTCTAGTAGACTTGAAGATTAATTCACCCCCGCTAAATTGGTTTGAATTTTCAGGTGACTCCATGATGTCGGAATTCAAAATTAGATGTCGGTAAAGAACCTGTTGGCTTCCTTCAGTTTCGGTTATCATCAGTCTTTCTCGGACCTTGAAAGCTGAAATCCCATGTAGTACAAGATTTGATGATTCTTAGTTTGTATTTCTGGGAATTCGATGGATCTTTAGAACTCTTCGTGTGATATATATAACGGTAATAACCTCATATAGCATCATTTTATATATTGATACCTCAAATGTCAAAAGTGCTAATTGGGATCTAGTATATGCTATTTCAGGTTGTTTTGATTTTCAAAATATTACTATTCTGGTCTCAATTTGAAAAGTGTTAGTTTGATTCAAATCTATAGGGATATTGATATTCTAATTTCGATTAAGAATATAAACAAGGATAAGAAAAAGAAGAAAAAGAAAAAGAAGAAGAAGAAGACTAAGAAAAATAAGAAAAATAAGAAAGGAAAATATAAAGAGAGAAAAAAAAGGAAGATATTTATAGATCTAAAAGATTAAAAAAGAGATCTTAAGTTTGTAGATTTATAGTTTATAATTATTTAATATACTTTATATTATATTATAATTAGAATATAACTTTTAGAATCAAAATGATATATAGTTTTTAAGATGAAAATGATATATAATTTTTAAAATCAGAATATTAAATCAATTTGAAATTAGAATATTAATTTTTTATTTAAATCAAATTGAGATTAGAATAATAACATTATTAAAAAAAGTTGAGATTGAAATATCAAAAATGCTAGTTAAGATTATTTTGGTTATATTCCTGACATTTGAGATATTAATATATGGAATAATGCTATATGAGGTTATTATTGTAGATATAATCTTATCAGCAATGTGGTTGATTGTCCTCTAACCTACGCGAGATATCTTAATTCCCCAACACAGAGTACATATTACGTAATGAAGAGTTTTACGGTACTATTATGTGAATATTAGTAGCGTAGCAAAACATGTTTCCGGTTTGCGCTAGTATTGAATGAATTTGATCATTCAGCTCCCTGTGCGGTACGCCCAGGATGGCCATCCCATTCACTTCGAAAGTTGTTTTATATTTGTTAGAGAGTGAATGGGAAGACTCGTATAAGACATATATACGGTAGAGATTATTCTGGTACTGGCGCGTCAGTTCGCGGCACATTGAAGTCGTTGTTGCGGTGCAAGGTTGCAGATTATAAATCTTCAACAATATTGTTCTTGATATATCACGTCGAGACATTTCCTATATCGTCAATATGAGCAACTTTGGGGGTTATGACGAATACGCAGCAGAACATCTGCAATTTGAACCAGCCGACGAAAACGATGAGACTCAAGTCCTTGACATGGATTTCGATCTCAAAGAAAGTTCTTCTCTTCAGATAGCTAGTAAGTTTTTTGAAATACTTTTTTCTGATTGTACTAATCAGTTCCTTTAGGTTTCGCATCACTTCGAGATCAGGACCTACCTTGCATCATCAATAAAATGCCCGCCGAGATAATTACATCGATTCTGCGCGAGCTTACGCCTTGTATGCGTGCCTGTCTCGGAGTTACGTGTAAAGACATGTACCAGTACTTCAAATACGTCAACCCGAAGCTAGTGGGCTTATCTGAGAGAGCGGGCTCAGGATCCCAAGATAAACCTCTCCATAAGCTTCTCAAGACTTGGATCGGCCCCCAGTATCGCCGCGGAGTTTTTATACCCCATCACTTTCTTCTTAAATCCGTGTATGAACAGTCCTATGAACTGCCAGCTGGCAAGAAGGAATTTTATTTGGCGACCAGATACATCGATTATCTTGAATCCATGAAGCAAAATAAAACATTGAGCATCTATCCATTTGTACTGCCAAATCCATGCAATAAAGGGGGCAGCTAGAATGAAGAAGTTCTCAAAGTCATGAAGGAAGATCTGAAATCATGCATTTATGATTTCCATCCATGGTTCCATTGCTGGAATCACTTTCATGTGTTTGGATTAGATGATTATCGGCATTACGAATATCTGCGTAAATGGCGAAGGGATTTGATCGCAGAGACTATTTGGTCTAATTACGCTGAGTGGACGGGACTGATAGGGTTTTGATCACTGATTTCTTCATAAGATGTATGTGATGGTACGGCCTTGTCTCTATGAAATCCAAGACGGAATTTTATTACCATAACAAATCAGTTTTCTTGACTAGCAAATACAAAGTAAACCGTTTATATGTCTGAAAATACAATCAAAAATGGGCAGTGAATCTTCAAATTCAAGATAATTAGGTAGAATTTATAGCGACTTGTTTAGTGGGAAGTTGAAGATGGTATAACAGAACCCTGACTACAAATGTAACTTTAGGTTGAGTCACTCAACTTGAAAGTGACTTGAATTGTTCAACTTGTTATGCTTTGTGGAAACTAGCAATCGGTTTTACAGGCATCTTCATCATGAAAACGCCCCAAAAGACGTAATATCTAATATACACTAAATGACTATTAAAATGTCTGACGAAGTATGGCATACCCTTTTGCAGTACAACTACATTTCGTGGCACAAGGTAGCCAGCAATTGCATGTATTATCACACAAAACTATTCGCCTTGACTCTTCAGGCACTTAGATCATGACCATTTGGTGTTAATAAAGTGCTGCTCTAAGTTCCATGCCACACATGTCTTGCGTTGTACTATAGCATCATCCATAAGATCTTATAATTACCCCCGATCTTGATTTCCGAGCAAGATCAACTAATCCTATCTGTACAATTGGCCCATTGACTTGTGCTACAAGAGGGGGAAAATTCTATAGTCCATCGCCTGAATTTCGTAACATCTAGCATGCTTTGAGCTTTGAAAGTATGTGTAAGATTCGCTGGCCATACATAATAGAGACGTCGGCTCTAGGATTTGCATATGAGTTTAGTTAAGTATGAGGACTTCTACAGAGAAGGATTACGGAGGAACCTCCTTTCCACCTTATATTGCAATTTTGATAAATTCTTCCAGTACTTATCAAGTAAGTCTTTTGATAATCTAGCTTCCTCAAATACTCTTCATGCAGCAATAATTGGTGTCTGGCCCAACTTGTGCAGCTTATTTCCTTCACGGGTAAGTTTATATGAACACATTATAGACAAGAAGAACGAGATTCCGGGGATCTAATGAGATACATGATAAAACAAGTGCTGTGAGTTCTATAAGAGAAGGTATCTTTGGCCTGAAGAATAAAATCAAAACAATGATGGTATTGATCCCAGTTCAGATGCAATACAAATGGTCAAGTGACGATTGATAATCTGCAGCAATTATGATCAAAGACTCACATTGAAATGTACACACTGCAAGAATAAATTCAATCAAGAAGCCAGCTTAGTTTTCATTTAATATTAATACATCCTGGTATCTATGATCTCAGAGCATGCATGCGTTCAACATCAGGTAGGATCAGAATATTAAATCCAAATATGATGTACCGGTATGCAAAATGCCAAGCTCAAATTCAATAACCTCTCTTATTAAACTCCCATTCCAGTTTCCATGCACTGATTCGAAGATCCCATACATAAACCATCATACAATTATCTCATCGTGAACTCAATTAAATGTTGCAATGCAACTAGAAGAAACCAAAGACAGCAGCCATTCCACCAAGCATAAGACTTCCAGCACCCCAAGATACTCCATTCATCGACAAAGCATCAGCAGCGGAGCTCGATGTAGAGGGGCTCGCGCTTGCACTTGCCGCAGTTCCACTCTTGCTGGAACTTTTGGTAGCTCCGGGTACTTCAGTGACGGCGGTAGCGGTAGATGTGCCGAGGCTGGAGACAGAGGCAGTCGCAGTAGAAATAGTTGTGGAGTTTGAGTAAACGCCTGGCTTGCCGGAGATAATGGAACTGGAAACGGAACCGGATGAGTATACTGATCCAGATGGTTTGTAGGAGGATATGAAGTTTATGGAATAGGAGGTGAAGGAGGATTCATACGCTGACAAAGTACTGCTTTCCAGAACGGAGGTAACAGAGGTTATTGGGACCAGAGCAGACAATGATGTGCTGGTAGCATCCACACTGGCAGTGGTCGAGCTAGTGCTGATATTTTCGCTGTCTCCGGTTTGAAGAATGGTAGGAGAAGCATAGGTGATAGTAGCTGCAGAACCACCAGCAGCTAGAACTGATGCGGAGTTGGCCAAGGCCAAGGTAACGGCGAAAGCGACAGTTGAGGAACGCATAATGAAAATGAGATTAATTTTTAATAGGAAATCTAAACGCTGGAAAGATTGTATGTTTGAAGAATAAAGAATGAGGATGGAACGACTGGTGATGGCATGATGGACTTATAAGTAACACCTTATCATGTAACCAACACACAGCCGCAATTTAATACCTAGCCACTTCTCGTGTTACATGTACGAATCCTACAACCACCTGCAACGACTAACATTCGACCCCAGCCCTACTACGCCCACCCATGGTAGTGGCTAGCTTAAGGCTGTTAATATTCACTAGATTATTACTTCGTATGTGGCATGACTGATCGAAAACGATCATGATTGGGGAGATCAGTACGAAAGGAACTTTCCTCATTTTTCGTATCATAGAGAGCAAAAATTTCAGTTGATGCAAGAAATTACGGGATGCACTTGTTTGTTTGGGGATATTTATGGGCTTAGATGGAATCCCAACCCTGTAAGTCGTCATTTAGTGGACCTCGTCCCCAGTCAGTGGAGGGTTTCACGGCCCCCTGAGCTTACGACCCTGAGAATAACTTGACAGGGGGGCTTGGTATCCGATCTATTTTAGCAAACAAAAGAAGGCTGCGTACAACTGATACGTACAAGTTGAACTCGTATTGTGAAAATTCTTTCAAGTCTCAGAATCTCAGTGAATCCAATAATTCGTAGCTAAAGCGGGCCAACGATGATCTCAAGGATTTGACCGACTGGACAGTTACACAAGATGTGGAGATTTACAAGTACAGCCCGCGCCCCCTTTTGATGATCTCTACCTTCTAGACTACTTCGACTCCTCCATCCGATCTGGAAGCGTTGTCTTATGGCTAGATGGCATTCACCAACATTGTATGTCTAGATGTCTTGAACAAAAATAGGCTCAACCAGCCTCCCTCGAAAGATCATCACGATCAAGCAAACCCCTAAGATCATTATCCATCGAGAAGTGGTTTGGTTGGTGGGCTGTATGCAGGTACCTAGGTAGGTAAACGAACTGATAGGTCATATTACGGTCACCGTGTAAACTCATTAATGCAACTTTGGACCAACATCCCGTTTGTTTTATGTTCACCGACAAGAAGGTAAAATACAAATGAGATTACAGTCTTCATATCCATCCTTAACATCAACACGGAACCCCTTGTATAATACGGAAAGATTGATTGATACTTCACTTGTGTGCCATCAATTCAGTTCCGTTATGTAGTTTTTCTTATTCTTATGGCAGATGAATACGCTCCAGATCTAAGAAGATCTAGCCCAAATGTCGAGATGATATCTTCGGTCGATTACAAGGAAAAGTAATAATTGAATCCCGTTATACTAATTCAAACTGATTACTCAAAGCTCAATGAACTATACTGGATTGGTGATCGAAAGCTCGATGTGCTAATCAACATTGATAATTAATTGAGGTCGTTCGGAAAACAGTTGTCAGGACTCTCCCGACGTTGGCTCGGTTAGATTAGTATCATGATTTGGTGACATGATTTTTCAAATTCACTATGGGCGGGAATATTTGTTACCACTCCCGAGTCATATCTTCCTAACTCTCGTCGAAAATGGTTTTTGAGAATCACACTCACAGTACAGCCGGTTGAACCATTGACACGAGAGCATGCGCACCTAATTCATCCATTTAAACTGCTCGCTCATGAAATATGTACTTCATATATTCCATATTTCTATATTTCCTTGTTTGTGATTCAATACCTTCCATACTTGCTCATGCTGTATCGCAAATTAGCTCCTCCTTATTACCAGGTTCCATTATATCTGCGTTTGGCCTTACAGAAAGTACCACCGTATTAGCATCCGCAGGAATTACAACTCAAACTAGCGTTGCATCTTCTCCTTTTACTTTTTCTACCCCCACAGAGCTATCGGAACCCATCGATATAAGGGGAACGCCTGATCCAGGATTAAGTTCCTCGAGTTTGTCTCAAATTCTGCTCTCTGAGTCAAATCCCCGCGCTACCAGTACTACAATCGAATGGATTATCACTTCATTACCACCTAGCACTAGCACTACCACCATTAAATTTCCGTTGAGTGGATCTGAAACTACTCTTTCTGAATCTGGGACCTCGGCTTCTGCTTCTACTCCATCATCCATCAACACGGTTACCTCTGAAGTCCTTCTGAGTACTCCACAATCCACTTCTTTGGTTTCTTCACCAATCTTAACCAGTGCTGGCACTTCTGTGTTCTCGGTTTCTCTATCTACATCTAACTCTACGGTACTAACTCCATCTGTAACTGGAATCTCTGTTATACCAACTGAATCGGCATTCTCTTCTGATGAACCAAGTAGTATTGCACCTTCCACCTCTTCCGGTACTGGATCCAGTGACATTGAACCCCTAGCCTCATGTACTGCTATCATTACAACAGATTCTAGCATAACAACTCTATTCACATCTGAGAGTTTTACGGCGAATTCTAGTACAATAACTTTACCAGAATCAGCATCCTTCTCCGCAATTGAAGCAACTTCGTCTACTGTTGTAACTAACCCCTCAATTTCAGACTCATCTGTCATTCTGTCAGTATCTCCACTTGGTCCAAGCAGTTTCGAGTCAATTACAATCGTTCCTTCAGCTTCTTCTTCAGAAAATGATGGACGTGGTCCATCCCTAACCGCTTCAGGCTCAAATGGTTCATCCCCAAGTGCCTCGGGGTCAGGAAATGGTACATCTTCATCAGATTCTATAGCAACTATTACACTGCAGAGCTCTACAATCGAGTCTAATACGACAATTGCATATCAATCTGTGACTCCGACAGCAGCTACTGATACTGTACCTTCCGCAAAAACTAGCCATGTGCCTAGCATCATCGAAACTGCAGCATCACTCACTGTCGTCTCACTTGGCACAAACCCCAGTGGCCTTGAACCCACCAGCAGTGCAGAATTTTCAGTCTCATCCAATGCGATTGTTAGTTCAGGGGCTATGTCTGAGTTTGCCGCCTCTACAACGAACCCTAGTACAGTTCAGGTTAAGACAGAACTAAATCCTGGAGTGAGCCACACCTCCTTCTCATCAACGATTGAGATAGCCAATTCAACGTTGGAGATTTCTACCACTCCATCTTCTTCTTTGACTGATCTAGTACCGTCATTATCATCATTGGATAAGACCTTCAGTAGTGACATTGAAACGCTTGTCAGTACAACCAGTACATCGATTTCCGGGTTCTTCATCGAATTGGCCCCTACTATGACTACATTAATCGTTCCGACATTCCCAATATCTACGAGTCCGGCTCCATCATCTCCACCTAGTGTGGAATCGAGTGCCCAGTCTCTCTCTGCATCTTCGGCTGCGGTTACTGTCAGCTTTCTTCCAGGAAATATGGCCGAATCAACAGCAACAACATATCTGAGTTCGATTTATACGCTTATGCAAGTTTATACCAGATCTTCTATATCCAGTATGGTAGAGCCAAGCAGCAATCCCATTCTTCCGAATTAGTCGGACTACATGGATGTTACTTGGTCCAATGACTAGAACATATGAGATTTTCCGTCAGCACCCCGCATCAATTTATTAGCGGGGAATTCATTCCGGGATTCATCAGTATTCAAACCACGGACTGGAACATTCCTGTCACTGTTTCAAACCTCGGAGGATCAATAAGTGATCTTGAATCCGCAAATAGATGGATCGTCGAGGAACAATACAATGCAATGCCATCCTTCGAAGCTAAAGTCGCAATCCTCTTCAGGTTCACAAACACATAGCTCTTGAAATCGACGATGCTGGTAGAAAGGAGATGGTATCTGAGGTCGGACAGGCTAATAGGATATAGACTGATTATGACTAATGATAAAGAGGAAAGCTTGCAGAGTGTGCGGTGGGCTTTGGATTGCGGTCTTCGACTTTAAACATATTTTCTTGCGTTCACTTTACTTTCAAGGTGTGTAAATAATTATCTGGGACAATGATTTTTGAAAGGAATATCAATCTAGTTGGAGCGTTGAACTTTTAGTTTGCTTGCAATCATACTTCGAAGTTTTTACCACCTCTGTCCCCAAGAAACTGATCAGTTCTTTTGTGATGATTCATGAAGCCTTCTGCCTCGCTTGTATTACACCCAAGTCTCATCCTTTCACCTCGCAATTACTCATACATTTCCCTCAAAAAACTGATCAGCTTTTCCTTCATAGTTCACGAAGCTTTCTGTCTCATCTATGCATCAAGTTTTCTCTGATATCTTATCATCCTCGGTTCATTTCTTGCGATCTTCAAGCCTTTCTAACCGATCCATAAAATTGCTTTCCTCATCTTCAAGTTCTTCCGCCTTGTAAGCATCAAATTTTAATGAGTCTTTAAGCTTTTTTCCAACTTCAGCATCGACCTCCACAGCTTTATCTACTCTCCCTCCAAGCTCTTTTCTCTCCCTGTATCTTATTTTCAAATCGTGAAGCCTGTTGATTTGACGCTCATAAAACTTGTTCATGATTTCAAGTTCTTCTAATCCCTCAGCACCGTCAATCTCCATAAGTTGATTCATTCTCTTCTCGAGTCCTTGATCTTCATCCCGGATTTCTCGCAATTCTGCAGCGTTTTCTGCGATTTGTTTCATTCTATCCGAGAGAGTTTTTTGTTTGTCATTATCAAATTCATTCTCCTCCAAAGGGGCCTTGACCACGATTTCCTTCACTCCTTTCGATGCCCTTTTTTTCTCATCCTTGAGTTCGTTTCCTTCACTCGCTGTAACCCGAACGTATTTCTTTATTTTAGCCTCGCGTCTCTCTTTCTCAACTCTGAGTCCTTTACTTTGAGTAATGATGCTTTGTGCCATTGCATTGCTTGCGTCTGGAAAAAATTTCTTCTCATCCTCACGCTTCTGCTCAAACTCGCGTTTCTCCTCATCGTTCAGTCTCGCCCATAAAAGCTCAACTGCTTCAACTTCACTTCTTCTCTGCTCGGGTTGTTGTCCGTCAACTGAAGCGACGGATTTTTCTGCAATGTCGTTCATTCTGCGGGAAATAAGTCCTGATCCCTGCAAGATGTCATATCAGCAGCAGCAATACTATTGTCTTGGTTCATGCATCTCACAAAACATAAGGGACAGTGGTATGTATTCTCTGCATCATTTTCGTTGGCGATAATGCCAGAATAATCTTTTTCGGAGCTTTTCGCCGGGGTTTTTGAGGACATGTTGACGTGGTGAAAATCTAGTGTGCTATGATGAAGTTTGTGATTATGTTTTGGACTACAATGTATTAAGAGGTACGAAGCAATTGCTTGATTTTCATGAGAATTTCTCCAATGATAAATGGTGCTGTAGTTGTATTCATTTCTAAATTCTGATCACTTTCTACAGATTCAACAGGAGAAAGGAAAGAGCCATGAGAAGCCGTGGAATTGGGCTCTTGGGTGTCAATTGCAATTGCTTAAAGGAGACAGCTTCTCAGTATAAATAATACTTTTATATTGTTAAGTCTTCATTTTCGTCGCTGAAATCATTGATATGTATGATGAGATTGCGATTTGCAAGCCAGTATAAACTGCGATAGTCAACTCTCTTCAAAAGGCTTCGGCGAAGAATCTTCCCAATTGTTAGGAGAATCTATTCTTGCGTATATCTTGCCTCGTGAGCTGGATGATTCTCTGCTAGCTCCAATTTTACAAAATCTGAGTCACAAACAGGGCTTAGACTGGAGTTTTTGGCAGGCTGTGCGATCTTGTTTTCGGAATCTGGTTCAGGATAAAAACTATACATCAGTGATTTTGAATAGGGCTTCTATCATGGGTTCTTGGAACGATGAATGAGGGCTTGTGTACGAGTTCTACCAATTTTCCAAAAATCATCAGGATGGAAATGTAGTTTGTCAACTCATCGACACGGGGCTTCCACAGAGCATGCAGCTTCTGTATTTGTCAAGTATAAAACGAACTTTGACGATTGATTGAGATTTCCCGCGGGGTCGAAAATCCCGTGGTCCAAAGGTTTCACAAAGCAAAAACTCATACAGCAGTCCTCAGCAGATAGCCGTTGGTGTTTACCTTGGCATCAGTACGCCAAGGTATCCTGGTCAGCAACGATCGGTACCTCCGAAAGACTTCATTCTAGAAAGTTGCAAGAAATGATGAATATCAACACACTCTTTCAACTATTTTGAATTCAATTACCAGCGAAACATACCAGGGGCGCTAGATTTACCAGACACATGTTCCAATTCTAGAAAACTACCTGATTCAAAGCAATCCTTCGTATTCTCATCTACTTCAACCTTTTCTCGCGACTCAAGCTATCCATAAGTGGAATCATAGAAGCTATTCGGTGATTGATCTATCTGGGCAAAGGAATCTCAATTAAAGCCCGATGATAAAGAATTCTGGTCAACAAACATTACACAACGCACAAAAATGGAGAAAAGTCAGCGGCGACTCAGCCTTGTGGATACTACGCTGTCAGCGGGGTGAAGTAAGAATGACTTTGCCCTCAAGTCTACTGATTGGTCAATCTGAGATAATTCTCTCATTCCAACCAATTTCCAGTTCGTTTCGATGGCCCCATACTCTGATTTTTAGGATACATTGTGGTAAGAGTTCCTACACAGATGTCTCAGCGAAAGGTGTTCGGCGTAGCTGAGCTGATAACTGCTAATTACAATATCTGATGCTTAAAGGGGGTGGGAGAAACAGAAGAGTAAGATATCGTACCATATTCTACATTTAGCAAATGTGAAATAAACTAATGTTTGATCACTCTGGGGTTTGTGTAAAGCCATGCTTCAACAGTAGCAGAATCTTCGGAGAATATCTATCAACATGCTTCAAATTGATGCTTATAGCATGTTCAGATGCTATGATGTGTAGAGGGAGTAATCTTTTGCCAAGTATTATCATTATTTCGCAATTTTATGAGGTCGCCGTCCATCGGGTTTGCATTGCTATTTTGCAGAGCTGTGTTGACAGAAGTATGGGCATGCTTTGGAGTTACGATATTTCCATATTCCTGGCTGTAGGATTCTACGTCTGAACAGTGTCCTCTCGCATGATTGAGTAGCTGAAGACGCTTCTCTGGCTTCAATGCAGACTGTATATAATGAGAGTGAGTTCCATTGCTTCTTGTTCATCAACACAGATCTCCTTTGGCTTCTGTTCTTTCCATTTAAATCACTTCAGTCTATCTTCAAATTTCAATTTCTAGCATCATACATCTTGCTACCATCATGCATCTTTCACAATTCGCTACATTTCTCCTCGCAGTCGCACCACTAGTACTGAGCAGCTCACTCCTACCACGAGAAGATGAACGACTAGACGAAGCAGTCTTCTCACAACCTGCTTCAAATACATGAAAAGCAACGACGCCACACCAAACGGCCGAGACGACAAACTCTGGTACTTTAAAAACTACGACGATTCCATCACAGGAAAGCAATTCGACGAAGCCTATGCCTCCAACCCCGGCGACAAAAACTATCCTGTCGACTGGATATCGGGTACAGAAGCAAACCCTATCACCGGCACACTCGACAAAAAGCCGTTCAAAGTTTGGGGACTCACAAGAATCGGAGATGCCAAAACATTTGTTACTGGATATGCCGATTTGGGAGGGGCTTCTATGCGCTGCTACAATAACTCTGCTTCGTACTGGAAACAGGATTATGGAGAAAAAATGTATGTCAAATGTAGTGCGAACTACTACTGCACGCGAAATTCGCGACAGATTCGTCGTACCATTGTGACGACTTCGAGTACCATGCAGAGTATTCCGTTTCTGGGACAGCAGAATTACGATATCAAGAATGATCATGGAGTGAGTGCAGGAACAGGTAAAAAAATGCGTTTTGGTGGTTGAAGCATCATTATAAGAGTAATGCTGCGGATGGGGAAGGATATAAAATTGGGAGTAAAGATTACAAAATGACATATGCGGTGAATCGCATGGAGAGAGAGGGAGATCCGTATTATGAAGCGGATCGGATTAATCAGGTTGCGGATTTGGTGGTGGAGAAAGTGTTTCCTGAGTTATGGGCCAAGGATAAAATCAGTGGTAACTTACCCTTTGCAAGACTTTGATGGGAAGGAAAGACAAGAAGAATTAACAAATCTCCCTAGATGAGAAAGCATGGCCTTCCGGAAGCAAATTCCTCGCCCAAGCTACACATACGCTTCCCTTCCCGAAACAAATCAAAGTCCAAGTACAAGTTGCACAACAGGCGATGTTGGATTGGGAAGATAGAGATACCGTTGTTTTCACCGTGGAAAAAGGAAATGATTGTAAAGTTGACAGTGTGCTTAGTATGGCGATCAAAGGCGCGTTTAAAGCTGTTTCGACTGTAACGACTGGTGCTGATGGTGCTGTTGGGCGAGATTGCTTTTCCTTCTGATTCGATTTTGGGTTCTGAATGTATCTTTATATTGTGTTTGTTGTATTATGGTTTACTTAGTCTATGGTATAGAGAATATATGTATACTATTTATTATCATGTCCCATTTTATTGAGGGATCTAATTGTTTTTATGGATTTATTTGAAAGATCGTGATGGTGTGGGCTCAATGTTGATTGTTTGTATAGATTTTCATAAATCTTGGCTTCCATCAACAAAGATAGCATTCCCTCGTGGCGCAATTGGCTAGCGCGTTCGACTGTTACTTGAAGCAATTCAACTAAATAAATCGAGAGGTTCGTGGTTCGACCCCACGCGAGGGAGACAATTTTTGTTTTGTTCTTTTTTCTTCTTTCCTTCCATCTCTTTTCATGAAGGGAACTCCGCAATGTTGAGGTGATTACATTTTTTAGTCCTGGTGGTCTTAAAGAAAAGAGGTTTGGTGGCTTGAATGTGGGGTGTCTATCATTCGTAGATCCTGTGGGTGGGTTCGAACCAACATTCAGGCGTCCAAGCCACCAGAGCGAGGCGATTCTATCAACATTTTACCATTTCTTTTTTTCTTCCATTCCACCCCTTCTTCTTCTTCTTCTTCTTCTATTCAAACAGGAGCTTTTGAATTTATTTCGACCCTTGAAGTTTCCATGTTGATGAGGATTTCAATGTATCGGCTAAATATGGAGCCCCGTCGTGAACTTTACGTACCAGGTACATTTACCATATAATATATAATATGACTACCTAACAGCATTACAATTGGGAAGAAAACGTCAATGTTTCTCCGCATATTCCAGCTTCAATATGTTTGTTTGGATCATCTTGAAAAATATGTAATATATATACAAAGCATTGCAATCTTTCTTACTGACTTCAGGTCTGAGCTATAGCGGATCACTCCAGGTTATCATTTGTATCATGCCTATCTATGTATTTGGAGAATGGATGTGCTGTGAAATATTAGTGGTGACTATATCAGTGTACCTTCACGAAGAGAGAATCAATAGGTTCATTGATTAAAAGTAGATTCTATTCTAGCTCGTAGCTGGTCATTGTGTGCATAAGTCCTAAGAACGTTGAGAAATGAGCGGGAGAAATCGATTCTTGTGAATCCGAGATTTCATGTCGGCCATTATCATATTCATAATCGTGAAAGATTTATCTTCTTTATCATGTCATTTCATTTTGGACATCAAAACTCGTTGTACAAGTTTAACTCGAGGATGAATCGTAATTGTGCACATTCAGCTCACATGGTGACTGCTCGATGCTTCAAATCATCTCACTCCTGGATTGTCCAATATCATTCACATCCAAAGATAACCTCTGCACTGGACGCAATCTGAACAGATAAAGAAAAGACTAAGCTAATCCAAGAGCTGGTATGCCAATGGTACATAAAGGTACAAATCTACCGTTTGATCCGACGTCAAATTTTTGAAGCTCGGCAGGCCAAATGGGGATGGGGTTCCTTCGAGTGTAGAATTGTTACTTTTTCGTGCATGTTGTGGTTGTTGTGCTAAGCCAGCAGTTCCAATGAAGCTTAATTTATTTTTCGTTCTCCTTATGACTGCGGCCTTTGTAATCCCATCAATTTCACACAAGTAGTCGTCTACACGAGCCGCTGACGGTCCGAGGCCCATGTTTGAAGCTGCATCATTTTCAACTGGAAGACTTTCGAAAGAGTGGTCCAAGAGGAATAAACGACCTCCTTTTACTGGCGACGCGGGAAAAAGCTCAGACCTTTCTGACGATGTATTCAAAGTCGAGTCGCGCAATAGAGACTCATTCTCTATATCTCGCTTGTCGTGTTTTCTGTACGGTGAGGAAATATCTCCTGGAAAATCTTGACAAAGCCAGGAAACTTCAGAGCCACATGTCGACACGATTTTGAGGTCAGTCTCATCCAAATCTTCTAGCAACTCTAAGAAGAGATCACTCTCTTCTTGAACGCTGGGCTGAAGTCTTTCTGGCAAATTATTCTGGATACTCAATCTCCAATCTGCAGTCTTCGAAAGTTCAGTCATGATTTGTACATACGAAGGTCCCAAATGTATAATTCGTCCCACCAAACGAGCTGGAACTTTCAACACTGTAGGGTTGCTAACTCCGAGATGCCGTTCAAAGTTTAACTTCTGAGGTATTTTCAAATAGACATCATCCGCAATTTCTTTCATTGTCGTGATATTAGGGCCACCTAGAGAGTCCCGAACTAATTTACCAAAATTCAAGATATCACTCTGGTGAACTCGAGTATCGAGATTTCTAAAAAGTACTGTATCCTTCCAGACTTCGTAGAGGGGTTTCCGATAATCCATAGGGAATCCAGCATAGCAATCTGTGGCCAAACCAATCAACTCATATACTTTATCTCTTGGCTCTTTACACAAAGCTTGACGATGATTTGCCATAAGGTTCTGTAGCTTATGGCCACCATCGTATTTGTTTCTTAATTGATAATACAGATTCCATGGAACGGTCTGAGATAACGCGCTTTCTTCCATTACTTCCTGCGTAATCCATGCAGGGTATGGCCAGTCAAGAGTGATGGTTTCCACAAATCGTTGCCAGTCTATTAGTTCCTGTCCAAAGGAGATGATGAGTTTTCTGGCTTTTCCGATTTCTTGGACAATCCAAAGTCGCTCCCAGTATTCATTTGAGCATATGACCATCAGGTAGTTGAATAGTGATCTTTGATCTCTATATTGTTGAGTATGTCCTGAAAATTCAAATGGCGATATCTTCTCTGGGTCTGGCCAAATCGGTGGTGATATAAGCTCATCGTTTCTTAACCAAACTACCACAAGTTTTGCACGCTCATAGATATAAGGCATGATAGTCAATTGACGATTCCGCTCCGCAATATCGTCTTGGTTGATACATATAGCATCGATCCAAAGAACAGATTCTGTAACATTTTGCTGTTGCAAGCAGATAAGTGCTTTGTACAGATTTTTTGTTACAAGAAAATATCGGTCATCAATAACAATAGGTTGTTGATCAGCTTCATTACCCCAAGTATAGGAAACAGCGTTGTACTTTGGACGTTCCCCGAACATTGCATGCTTGAGAAAGCAACGAGGTTGCTGAGTACAATTACCAGGCAATAGATGCAGAAGCTATAGACTTCTCATTAGCAATAATGATCCCGAAGGTATTGTACAACCACTTACTCGAATTCCGTCTATGAGCGGGTCGAGGGGATTGTAAGAAAATCGCTTCATTGCAATGAAAGGTAGAGTAACAAAACACCACGAATGCTGGAGAAAAACACATTGTAACAGAAGTCATCTTCTGTTCAAAAGAAGGCTGACGGTTGTGCTGTGCAAATTTAGGCACCGGGATCGATTCCGCCAAGCATGGTTGCATCAAAATATTGACCAATTAGTGATGCAGACATGAATATTAAATTGACTTCTCCTCTGTCCTTCCACAAAGTATCACCAGAAATCCAAAGTTTTTGACCATTCGGGATATCACAATCGTTCGCCATGAATGCCATATTTCCTGTTTTTAATTCCATCACTCTTCGTCCTCATCTTCGCCCTCTACTCCTTCCTCCTCAACAGGTGCTCTTCTTCTTTGCGAGGAAGCACCACTTCTCCGCTTCTCCCTCAAGTTATCTTCCGTTGATGTGACCGCTTTCTCTCCAACGTAATGCTTCCCATCCCACTCGGTTTCGCACTTCGGGCATTTCTGATTAGGACGTGATTTAAAATACGCAGGTTGACAAATCTTATGTAGTCGCACATTGCAATCTCTCCTCGAACACCTCATTCCAACTGTAACGATTCCTTTGCATGCTTCACAGTTTTTTATGCGCTGCCACTCATCCGGATCGTCCGAGTCGTTATAGGTATCGACGAGCCAGCTTCGAAGCTCTAGAATTGCGCGGGGTGACAGAGAATAATACCCTCGATCACTTCGTTCAAACCACCCTTGCGCTACCAGACCTTCCAATACCTTCTCGGCTTCTACTTTCCTTACACCGTTATCTATTGTCTGCATGTCGGCGTCACCTATGCTCTGCCGACCGGAGCCTCCAATAACTGATGAATGTATAGCTTGTGTACTGGTTATAGCCATGACCTCCTTTCCCTTGGTATTGTATGATTCAAACATAGCATCCAACAACCGCTTGATATAGAACACCTCCTCCGTTGTAAAAGTGGTCGCAATCTGAGTGAGGGGATCGCTGGTACTGTTGACAAGAGCCCAGATTTGTTCATTTGTTCGCTGATGTCTCATGCTTCTGATTTCGTAATCGAACGGCGAGAGGGCTTCGGCTGCTTTGGATATGTAGGCATTTAGGTCATCCTTTGTAACATCATCTGCCGAAGTAACTCGTCCATCTATATGATAAATGTCAGTTTGAGAGGAGGAAAAATCAAAGAGCAAATTCTAATCACCATCTTGAACTGTGAAAATATGGGCAAGCAAATCTTTGCCTTCTTCTAGATTCAAAGTGCCACGCGCTAACAATGCTTGAAGAAATGCACGATTGGTATCGTCGTACTGCTCCGGAGCGTTCTCCATGATTATTTCTTCTCATAGATTTGCTTGCAATATTTCATGTCGTGGGATCAATTGTGATATGATAGGGATAAAGATACCCTGTGCGGGGTGACGCGGTTGTGGTCGCGGCTTGATTTTAGCGTGTTCAGCGTGTTTTTCTTCGGGGTTTTGGGGCCCAAGCTCCAGCGTAGAAATTCTGGTATCAATGCTCGTCACCTATTCTCAATCCTTATCCGCTCAATCAATGAGCTATATTGTTCATGCGATTTTCCAGCTCGTTCTTTATCGAACATCTGCCACAGTGTTCATGGACCATGTTCGGGTCTCAAGAAAGCTTTTCTCCTTTACAATCTCAAGGCCAATACATCTCCAACGCATGAGAAGGTCAAAGTATAAGGTTAGTTCGAATGACAGGATTCTTTCACCTCAAAAATCCCTATGAGTTAGTCGTGCAACGTCTCAATCCAGCATATCTAGTCTACAGTTTGACAGTATGGTTGAAATAACGGATTGTCATTTGGTCCAGGAGTTATGCTCAGTCTTTGAGACAGAGGCCCCTCAAGCCACACATGTTACCAATAGGGCAAGTAGCCTATTCACGATTCTTGATAGAGGTGTTAGGATATCGGTGGAATATTGAAAGACCAGCTACGAATCACATTGTTCCATGCCTTCTGTTTGTCAAAACTCGTTTCACGTGTGGATTGCAGTTCATGAGACAAGTCAAAAAGCTTATTAAAACTTGTTCTGGACCGTCGGATACTGCTATCCAGTGTACTTATTGTTTGATTCCTGGCAAGAGATTCCTTCCGTGAAGCCCACGCCTTCAACAAGTTCTTGATGTTCAGATTCAGACCCAGATCTCCTAATTTTCCTCGGCCTTCACATCAACCAAGTTCTTGTCTATGTGCTTGTTAGTCGTGCAAATGCTATCTTCATACCCACAAAGTCTCTTACAGAAAGCAACATAATTCTTGATATTCTTGGCCTTGTCAAACGGAGCTGGATAATACCAAGCTGCATTCTTCAACTCCGTTTCTATACTTTGTCAATCCTTTTTTTACTCATAAACATGGAAGTAAAGTAGCTTACTGTCAAACGTGATAGTATAGTAGGATGCATCACCTTTCCAGGGACAATGTGTACTATGGTCCGTCTTGGAGAGCATAGCTTGTTTGACCGAGCTGATTCATCAGTATCCATCGTTTAGACCAGGTATAATACCCAACTTACGATGGTGGAAACTGCATTGTTAGTAATATGTCGGAACTTCGAAAGTTAGATACATACATAAATATTTCCTTCTACAGCCTCCCAGTGATCTGTCTCGGCAATGGTATGGCCGTTGATTGTTGCGGTAGCTTTTCCTGACGGCATTGTTGTTATTTGTAGGCGATGATGTTTGTAAAGGTTTATGATGATATCGTGATTGATGTTGAGTCTATGATGATGAGATATCAGACAGTTGTAAGTGACTGCAAGATGGTTTGTAATAATAATGAGCGGTAGCTTGAATGGGCATTCCCCGCGTTTTGGATTAAGTAATCAACCCAATGCGGGGTTTATGCTTCTCCGATCCGACTACATTCTTTTTTGTTGAGGACCTAGAGCTTGAATGTTCAATCTAGTCTTGAAAGATAGAACTTTATTAGCCGAATAGATTCGAGGCGAGTGATATAATGTGCAGTTCGATCCCGAGAAATAGGGGCTTCTCGGCTCGATTTACAAGATGGGAACCCTTCAATGTACAAGTTTCAACGATGCATTGAAATGCACAAATCCTCGCAACCAGCTTTTGGAATTATATTCAATAATTCGAGTCATTTCGTCGCGTCATGTGATTAGAAAATGACTGGCCCTGGAGATATGCTTCCTCAGTCATTGGAATCACTGTCGTTCCAGCCATTCTCCGGCTGTTCGACAGTCATTACAGATATACTAGTCATGATGCGCCGCCATACTCGCCCTATGGTCATTTCAGGGCTAAAGCTCTAGAAAAATTGCATTCTGCAGTCATTTCGGGGCTATTCAGTCATCCTAAATGTATTATGGCTCTTTTCTACAGTCATTTGGCGTCTAGATAACCCATCAAAATGTGGTTAAATAGCTCCAGATACCCCCATTTGCTTTAGATTCTCTTTTCATTAACAACACTTCTTGAGCACAGCAATATTCTACCAGGTCCTACGCAAACATAACGATTCTGCCATCGAAACCCTATTCAACCCCCTCCTTGGCTCGTATTCACACAATTCAGCTACTTTAAACCTTATCATGTCTCAATATAACATCCCACACAGCAACACAGCTCCATACGTTAATAACCAAAACGTCCTTCCTCGACCCATCGATCCTACTTCTGCAAAGGCAGAGCGTGCGAGAAAAGCCGAACAAGATCGCAAAAGAATCAACAGCATAATTCCTCGTTGCGGGCCGCCCCCAGAATTTCTTCCTAGAGATGCATTCGAAAGATTCCCCGAAGGATGGTGGAAATGTACATATGCCGGATGTTGCGTTGGAGTCCACGATCTCGGTGAAAGATATTGTCCAATTTTAGCCAGCGAGGGTGAATATCTGCCAGATGGACGACAGGAGGCAAAGCGAGATCCAATAGAGCTTCAAGAAGGCTGGTGGTGTTGTCCTAACAAGAAATGCAATATCAGAGCTAGACGTCCATTATATGAGGAGAAGCGCAAATGCAAGTGTGAGGATAACTATGGAAGAGATGCATTGATTAGAGAACGTGAGAAGTTGGGTCTTGTGTCTTCGACAGTGGAGAATGTTGAGGGATGGGCTGCACAGTTGCCTGTGCTGCTAACGGAGGAGGAAATTGATATTATGGAGAGAGGTCTAGAACCGGGTTTGGAGTATGCGTATGAGATTCAGGAACCGATGAGTTCGGGTCCAGTGAAATTGCTTTCGTTGAGGCTTCCTAAGAGACTTGGTACATGGGAATTAACGCTAGGAGATAAGCCTTCGAGCTCTAAGTGAGAATGATTGGGCGTAAAGCGTAAGGCGTAATGGCCTCTTTTGTTATAAGATATTTGGGTTTTGGAATCGGCTAGAAGGATTTAATTGGATGGTTATGCGAGATTACGAGCTGGCGAATGCTCCCTTGAATATTTAGATTACATCATCGTGATATTCACCAAATATTTGGTATATCTCGCATCGAATAGAATATTCAAAATCCATTCATACAATGAAATTTTTGTGAGGGAATGTATCTTCTTATCTTGAACATTGGATTTTGTACATTTCTCAATGTTCGAATATGACTAGGACAATTAAGGATACTTGAATGACAATGTCTGAATGAGATTTAGAATTCTGTATCGGATGTTTGACTTGAAGTCATACATTCTTAAATTTCATTCAATACTCATTATATAATATTTTTAATTGTCAGAACTATCGTTAGATATTGGAGCTTCAATGATCAGTTTAATTTTGTACAATGAAGCTTCAAACATGCATGTAAGTTCGTACATTGAAACTTCAATCATTAATTTGAATTGGTAACTCTTACATTAGAATTTAATTTATCAGTCTCCTTTAGTAAAATGAGCCTTGAATCATCAAGCTGGCTTGATATACCTAGAGAATATACTTCAAACCTAAACCAAATGAAATAATTTATTACAACAATTGTACGAATTGATTTGCGCCCTTGCTTACTGACACTACAACAGCCAGATGACTTCAACGAGAAACGAAGGAGGGTGTCCTTTATTGTACTCAGCCGAACCTGTCAGATTAAGCTCACTCGTATTCCCATAGCCTAGAAGAATCACATCGCTCCACAACATTTCTAGGACATCTCAAGGAATCTTCCCCTGGAATAAAAATCGACCAGCTTAGTTTGTTCACAGAGTATGAAATCTGTTCCATCGATGGAAAATTTCCCTCTACATTTTTGAGGAGCTGCAAATATGAGTACTCCAATTGGAGGATGTGCACGTGGTATGACGAGATATCCACATACGAAGGGTTTCAAGGCTGCATGGGCCTTTACGAGGTCGCTACTTGTTTGAACTCTATTGCCTACTTTTCGAGATCAGGCTTGCGGTATTATGGTTGCAAACAAAAGAGAATGCAGGGAATTAATGGACTTCATGCTTGACATAGACACATGGAAAAGCGATATGCGAAGACGATGGGTGGAGAAGTCGAAGGATTTGAATAGGAGGAGGAGGAGGAGGAGGAGGAGGAGGAGGAGGAGGAAGAGGAAGAGGAAGAGGAAGAGGAAGAGGAAGAGGAAGAGGAAGAGGAAGAGGAAGAGGAAGAAGAAGAAGAAGAAGAAGAAGAAGAAGAAGAAACTTCTAAAGCATTGAGGTATTGCCGTATTATATACTTCTGAGACACTTCTCTCAGAAAGCTGCTTACATATAGATGGTCTGTCTGGCTGAAGGAAATCACTCAAGAATGATTCGAACCTCGCCCTTAGATGGCACTAGCACTCCCACTGTAAGGTTTCATGACATTGATATCAAGATCGAACCAAACAGACATTGATTGCTCAAATCTAATCAAGTGCAGTGAAATGGCCAAACTATATTGACAATTCAGTACAGATGCGAGTGCAGTAAGTTTACCGTCTGAGACCCCTGTGGCGCCAGTTCCTCAGCGTGAAGAACAAAATAAGAATGGTCGAATGGAAGCAAAATTGGGACCACAATCCTCCAAAGGGCGTAGCTAGGTGCTACCGATTTCCTTTTGAACGGTTATAAGATTCTCCACTTGAAAAAGCCGACGGCCGAGAAGGAGTATTTACGATTAATCCGATATAATGAACTCAGCGAGACACCGAAAGGTGTAGCAGATGTCTCTATCCTAGAAGTCTCGGCGTTCCTGGTCTGTATTTCGAAACCTCTGGATGTCCTAGATTACCTCGCTAACTTTTATGGGAATCAAAAGAGTGACCGGTGTTTGTTGATATTGATCGATAACCCTTAGCAACCCCCAAGATTCAAGTACCTGTCCCGAGTAATTCTGTGCCTAGATCATTAGATTTCTACCTTCATTCGAACGGCTGACCGTCATGTTTCGATTCACGCGTAGCAATTGGTACTGCGGCTGGTGTGATCAGTTTGAGTCACACTGTCCCTTTCGTTTAATTTGAATTGCCAACATCATCCTCATCTTCCCTGATCTACATCTTTATCAGTACCCCTGCATCCAAGGATGAGTACCGGGTCAGACTACCCGGGTATATCCGGGTATGTCGTGACATCTCTCCGGGTAGATGACATACCCGGAGAGGCCAAAACACCGGGTAAGGCTCGGGCGTCCATCCTTATCTGCATTTCTACATCGTGAAAAGCCTTCTTCAAAGCAATTCCGAAAGTATTTGGATTGCCAAGATGCACCTTCGGCGTTTTTACTGAGTTTGACATGAACAGGATCTCGATCGGTCCTTTGCAGATGGATATACCTTCTGACATGCTAGATGTTAAACATCTGAGGTTCTCAGAGATGGAGATGTTCAAAAATGCGTGTATCCGGACCGTACATCCCTTGTTCCTTTGCTCTCATCTTGTCATTGTAGGTAGTCGGAGGGGGAAACTAGCCGCAATTGATTAATAGCTCGCTTTTGTTTCCTTAGATAGAAAGTCCTTTTCTTATAACTTATGTATGATTGAGCTTTCGTAGTGTTTGATATCAGGTATTCAAGTGGTGAACTACGGCTTTTCTTTCTTCCGACGAAAAAAAAAAACTAGAACATCAGAAAAATGGCACGTCTTTAAAACTGTTCATTAAATCAAATTGTTAATAAATCTGTATATAAAATCGAAATAAATATTGAGAAGCTTACAAGTTATAATTTTCTTCACTTTATTGAACTTTTCATATTCTTTGGGATTTATCATCTAATTTCAAATAATAGGCAGTTTTCGCAAGATTTTCTATTCTGGCGAATTTGCCGTGCTAGTTTCTCCGTCCACAGTGAGCCGAACCCGGTTGAGCAATGCGGGGCAAATTCCGCTGCCCGGCTACCACCTTCTAATTATGAGACCCCCAAAGTAGGTGGGGTGGAATCCGCTCCCACATTTGCTCTCATGCGTTTTGACATGTCAAGACAAGGACTGCTACGCCTTTTGAAGACATCGTGGCGATAATCTCGTCTTCAATAGAGAAAAGTCTCTTCCTTGGCGAAGAAAGATTCCGACATATTTCTGATTATATATAATCTTAAATGGTGGCATTTTCCCATTCTTCTCGCTGTACATACACACATATTTCCTGTCAATCAAAATGGATTCGAAGCAATTTAAAGAGGCGGCGACGTCCGCCATTGATGAGAGTAGGTTAAAGTTCCCTCATCTGAAGTACTATGTACTGACCATCATAGTCATTCAATATTATGATAATATCCATGAGCGAAGAGTAGTCTCCAATGTTGAGCCTGGTTACCTGAAGAAAATTCTTCCAGATGGTCCACCGCAAGAGGGTGAATCATGGGCAGAGATCCAGAAAGACATCGAAACTAAAATCATGCCTGGTCTGACACATTGGTGAGTCTGGCGTCTATATGTGAGGCTTAAGATGGACACTAATATACCAAGGCAATCACCTAATTTCATGGCTTTCTTCCCTGCATCATCTACCTACCCTGGAATGCTCGGAGAGTTATACTCAGCAGCTTTCACTGCTCCTGCTTTCAATTGGATCTGCTCCCCTGCCGTGACAGAATTGGAGACTGTTGTAATGGACTGGCTGGCCAAGCTTCTCAATCTCCCAGACTGTTATTTGTCAACGACTCATGGTGGTGGTGTTATCCAAGGATCAGCTTCGGAAGCCATTGTAACTGTTATGGTCGCTGCACGTGATAAATATCTTCGTGAAACTACCGCAGGTTTATCAGGTGTTGAGCTCGAGGATGCGATTGCACACAAGAGGAGTAAACTGGTTGCACTAGGAAGCGAAATGGCACACAGCTCCACGCAAAAAGCCGCGCAGATAGCTGGTGTTAGATTTCGATCAATCCCAGTACTCGCATCCAATGATTTCGCTATGACGGGTGAGGATCTAGAGAAAGTATTGAAAGAATGCAAATCTCAAGGATTGGAACCCTTCTATCTGACTTCGACTTTGGGAACAACATCTACATGCGCAGTTGACGATTTCGCATCTATCGCGACAGTACTTTCAAGATACGCACCTCCAGATGTTGCAGGCGAGATCTGGGTTCACGTTGATGCTGCTTATGCGGGTGCGGCTTTGGTTTGCCCTGAATACCATCACTTAACATCTTCTTTCGAACGTTTCCATTCGTTCGACATGAACATGCACAAATGGCTTCTGACAAATTTCGACGCTTCTTGTCTCTATGTCAAGAAACGCAAAGATTTGATCGACGCACTCTCCATAACACCCAGTTATCTCCGCAACGAGTTTTCAGAAAGTGGACTCGTAACCGACTATCGGGACTGGCAAATTCCTCTCGGAAGACGCTTCCGAAGCTTGAAGATTTGGTTTGTTCTTAGAACGTACGGAGTCAAGGGCTTACAAGAACATATTCGAAAACACGTGAAGCTCGGGGAATTACTCGGCAGTCTGCTCAAGACACGGGAAGATCTATTCAATATAGTTACAGGACCCAATTTCGCCCTTACGGTTCTGAATATTGTTCCTAAAGCCACGGGTGCGGGGGCGGAGGCACAGAATAGTCTCACGAAAGAAGTATACGAGCTTATTAATAATAGAGGCGAGATATATCTCACAGCCGGTGTGGTGGGAAGTGCATATGTAATCCGAGTCGTGAGCGCGAATCCCAAGGCCGAGGAAAGTTTTATCCGGAAAGCTTTTGAGATTTTAGTCAATACGTCTGAAGAAGTCCGGGATGGAAACGCGAGCAAACAGGGAAATTTAAATGGGTTTGTTGTGAATGGGAAGGCCGAGGGTGTGGGTGAAGTGGCGGTCGTCAATGGGAATGGATTGCCAAATTAGAACTAGACGGAAAGAATGGGGATTATGGTTGGAAAAGTAAATACCCTACGCGAGGGAATTATCATATTCTCTGCATGAGATCTTGCAGGTTTATACAAATGGATATAAATATTAGATAGAAAATATTTCAGATCATTCCACTTTTCAAAGCTATGTATAGAGACTCGAAAGAAGTTTTTAGATTCGGTGACTACGTTGATATCTTCTCGACATAGTGAAAACCCGTTTTTAGAATTATAAACTTCAAAATTATCTCACAGGACCTTACCCAAATTCCTTCTAGAATTCTGAAATAAACAAGCTGAGTGAATTTTTGACATATAGAAGTTATCTCAACATTCTCAACTTGCACACTCGCAAACGTGATAATGAAGAAAAGACACGGAAAAATCATCATCGAGTGGATAATCTTTTTCTTCTGCAAGATGATACATTTTCACTACCTTTTCGAATCGTCCTCCTCAAGGGAATCTTCCCATTTCGAACGCTCCTCGAAATCTATCTTCCTAACCAATCGATCCTTATCAACTGATACATCTGACTTCACCCTCTTAATCAACTTATCCAGATCAATTTTTTCCGACGAAAGCTGACTTGTCTCTCTCAGATCCGCTTGAAGAAGTTGCATTCTCTCCAGACGTCGTGGCTCTCTGTCTTGCCATCTTTGCTGTGATTTCTCATGCGATCTTTCTCTTCTCAGTCGTCTAATTTCTTCTCTATTTGAGATGTCTACCCCCGTGCTGAGGATATTTGGATTTTTCTCTGCCTCGATTATCTCGCCTTCCTCGTTTAGCTTTTTAGGCATCTTTTGTTTAATCCAATTTTCGTTTCCTGGGAAGGATAGACCCTCTGCAATATATTCTTCATCTGGAACGATTTTGATGATTCGGATGTTGGATTTTCCACGTCGAAGAACAAGCATTGAACCATCAATGATATAGTGATGAGTATCCGAGTTTTTCCATATTTTAATTGGGGTGAAAACTAATGCGTCATCCTTGCCTATATATCCCAAAGGCCTGGATCCACCAACATAGAGTCCGGAAGCACCGCACAAACGATTAGCTTCGGAAGCTGTGGCACAAAGGCCAGCGGCGACGACAATTCTTGCAATACTTCGAGTCATGACAAATGAACGTGGTAGTTTCAGGTCTGCTTTGGGTCTATTAGATGCGTTGATGTTACCTGTGCTTGATTTGCTAGATGTAAGTGTGTCTTCGAGGTTCTCCAAGTGACGCTGCAATTCCTCGACATTCGCCGAAGCACCAGATTTACTGAAAAGAAGTCGATGTTTGAGCTCGGCCGCTTTGGCGTCAGGGATCCCGTGAATCAGCTCTAGGAAATCTCGTGCTAATGCGTGTTGAGCTTTTCGAGTATGAGGCTCCTTCATGTGTTCCTCCATAATTTTATTGATTTGCTCAATGGGCATGAATGTGAAAAGTTTAAGGTATCTTTCTACTTCCTGATCTGATGTTCGAAGAAAATACGCATACAAATCGAACGAGCTCATCATATCCTTGTCCAGCCAAAGAGCATTTCCAGCACTTTTTCCAAACTTGGCTCCTGAAGATGTGGTTAAGAGAGGAACTGTAAATCCGAGAGGTGGTACCGCTTTTTTGTGTTGCTCCTGCACTACAGGATCAGGATGATTTGCTAGAATGTATTTAAGCGCATCAATGCCAGCTGTGATGTTGCCATACTGATCAGAGCCACCAATCTGCATTGTTATGCCTTTCGTATTGTACATGT